ACTGGTAAGATAGAAATGGGCCTATAATTACCTACTTCAGTTTTATCCCCTAACTTAAAAAGTGGAGTTATTTTGCTATGTTTCATTAAATTGGGAAAAACACCGTCAAAAATACATTTATTGAAGATAGTTACTAAATATGGAGCAATAACATCTATAGCGGTGTTAATAACTTTAACAGACATGCCCCAATGGTCTTCAGTATTTTTTAAATTTAATTGTTTAAATGTTTTCGTAATTGTAGCAATGTCAATAAATGTAAATTTAAATGTAACCGGACACGAAGCAACATTGTCAATAAGGAATGATTTAGCTGTACTTGGAGAAGAGTCCAAAGAGGACGTAATATCAGTTGGAATACTAGCAAAAAATTTTTCAAAAATATTGACTATTTCTTTCGTGGACGTTACTAGTTTATCATTATAATTTAACGTAAAATCATTATATGGACTTTTAACTTTGCCAGTTTCTCTATTAATAATATTCCACACTGTCCTAATCTTATCCTTGGATTCTTTAATTTTTTTATTTAGATAATTAGACTTTGCTACATTACATACCTTTTTAAAAGTTTTTGAGTATCTTTTTACATAATTTACGAATGTACTATCGAAACGGTATTTTTTTTGATCATATAAATCAAATAATATATTTCTACTTTTATGAATTCCCTTTGTAGCCCATTCTGAAAATTTTGTTTTGTTACTAATACTGATAGTTTTTTTGTTAAAAGCCTTATTATATTCGTAAGAAACAATATTGAAGAAATCTGTATAAAGTTTGTTGGGTTCATCAGATTGAGGACAAAAATCTAATTTACTACGAACTGATATTTTAAATTTATTTATCTTATAACCAGTCAAGTCTCTTTTTAATAAATTAATTTTCCTAATTTTGTTTACGTGATTTGGAAAAATTACTATTTGACCACAGTGATCAGAAGGAAGGTTGTTTATTATTATTTTATCTAAATATTCACTGTTGCTAAATATGTTATCCAAACAAGTAGCAGACGTGGCTGTGATACGAGTGGGTTCGTGGAAGACATTACTCAAGTCAAAAGATTGAAATAAACTCATTAATTTAGTTTTTGTGGTGTTATGTGATAAAATGTCAACATTGAAATCACCACACACTATAATTTTTTTGTTAATATTAAATACTCTTTTTAAAATATCCTCCATTACCTCTTCAAATAAATTATAATCACTATTTGGAGGTCTATATACACACATAACTATATAATTTTCTAGTTCCACACAGGAAATTTCAATACAACACTCAACGGAAAGATTGCCAATATCACTACGTTCTTTTACTTTTATATTATTTTTCACCAATATCATGGAACCTCCTCTATTTACTATTTTTCTATTAAAGCAGCTGACAATATTATAATTATTTAAGCTTAACATCATATTGCTCACTTTGAGCCAATGTTCAGTTAAACATAGAACATCTATATTATTTTTTTCTAAAAACAATTGAATAATTAATTCACAGCCGAGAAAACTTTGTATGTTCTGGTGAACAATTTTCAATTCTGATAGCTTTCCCTTTGTCTTTTTCAGCAGTTTAAATCTGCAGTCATATTTAAATTATTGTAAATAAAATGATTCTTGCTAGAATCCATATTTATGTCAATATGTTCAGTATGTTTAGTATTAGCATTAGTACAAGTACTACTAATTGGATTAGTGCAACCCATTATATTACTTATAATGGGGTCATTTATATTATAAGCTAGTAAACTAGCTATATTTCTTATTTGTTTTTTAGGCAGATAAAATCTATCTCCAGTCATACAAAAGTTTGTAACAAATTTGTTACTATCAAAAAATAAAAAGTCATTATGACGACAAGTCATATTATAAATTAAATTATTAATATAATATATGAACTTATTTTGTTCAATAGTCAGAGAACGACAGTAAGGAAATGCACATAAAATTATTTTACCTATGCCCAGCTCAGCAATATTAAGCAAAGAGTTTACAAGTTTAATGACATGACTTTTTTTTACATATAAACAGTTGCCTAAAGCAATGACTAATGTGGTTAACTTATCATACCTACCATTAACCACCTTATTTAAAATATTAGGCAATGAAGCACCAGGTAGACAATTATTTATAACATGTTGAGATAAACTTTCTGATAATGAACGGCCCAAACCCTTACCATATTCATCTGAATAAATAATTGTCCTTCGTACTGGTGCAATATTACAATTATCAGTTTTTAAAGACAAGTTAGAATTGAGTAAATTTGAACAAGGAGTGATTGACTCAGTCAAGACTGATGTGATTGACTTATTGTTATTTCCAATAGGGCTATATTGACAAGATTCTGGAGATTCAGGTGTCTCACAACAACATTTCTCTGTCAATGAGGTGAACCGCTCCATGTTGTAATTTCCCAACTCTATTAATTTATCCAGTGATTTACTATAGTTATTAATTTCATGTTGAGCACACTCATATTTATTTGTTAAATTATATAATAAAGATTCTAACTCTTGAATTTTACTCTTTAATTTATTTTGTTCCAAATCTTTATCATGTAAATTTGTTTTACAATTTTGAAGTTCTTGTAACAGGTCTAATTTTTGTCTTCTAATATTTATAGATTTTAAACATTTAGTATGAGTTCTCACTAACTTCTCTGACTTTTTAATAAATTTGTTTAATTTTATATATTTTTTTAATTTATTGACACTATTAAATTGACTAGTACAACTATTTGAGCTGGGTGTATTTGTTAAATCTATGGTCACCAACGGCTGAGTAGACTTTTGATCACAAGTGACATTTAACAATTCTGTATACAGATCTAAGGTGTTGTTATAGCTACTCACCCGTTTGTGTTCCAACATAGATTCACTATGTGCTTGAGCTTCCTCAAGGCGTCTCTCGAGGTGAGTGATACGCTGTAGATTTGACTCATATGTGTCCCTGCAGTGATCATATTCATTAACAATTTCCTGAAGTCTATCCCTGTCAACGCGTAGGTCTTCACAGAATACATTAATGTTTACAAGTTCCCCCTTCAGGGCCACATATTTGTCAAATAGAGATTTCATCTCTATTTCACTATCATCCGTTCCTGTAACAATACTTTATTCAAGTCTTGGGTTTTCTTTAATTCAACGAGTGCCACCTTAAGTTTAGCATCAAGATCACAGGCTCTTCTGGACATCATTATTAAATATGCTGATTAATAAATTTAAATATAAAGGAACTTAATGGAATTTAAAACTTGTGCTATTTCCTTACAAAAAAATTTATTTATAAATATATAATATGTAAGTAATGTTAGTAAATATGTTAATTATAAATAACAATACTAAAGATTATTATTTGTAAGAACTTACAGTTAGTACTTACAATAATATTTGGTTAGTGGGTAATATTTTTTTCCTCGACGCACAACTTGAATTCACTTTTAAAATTACCACAATATTAACATGTAACACAAAATAAGCAATAATAAAGGAATGTTATAATAATTTAAATTGAATTACGCGATAACATATACAAGATTGATGTAAATATAAGTTTATTACGAACTTTGACAGTTGACCGGTAGGAAATATTTGTGTCGATTTTTGTACACTAATACTATATAAAAATGAACACAAACAACAATCGATGCTTCTTATAGCTTAAACTCACTAATTATATCAATTTCACTAAAAAAATGGAGTAATAAATTATATAAAAGTATTTAATTATTACGGCCAGCTGACAAAGACAGTTATCGGTAATGTTGCCAGTCGAGAAAAAAAAAAAAAAAAAAAAAAAAAAAAAAAAAAAAAAAAAAAAAAAAAAAAAAAAAAAAAAAAGAAAGAAAGAGGAAGGCTTACATTATAAACCTTCCTCTAGAATCACTCTATCTATTAAAAAAAACTGCTTCAGAATCCGTTGCGTAATTTGAAAGATTTAAGCATACATAGGGACAGACAGCGACAGCGACTTTGTTTTATACTATGTAGTGAAGTTAAGCTAGTTGGTTGCTCACTCCCCACGACTCAGCGGTGACTGCCCACGCCCGGCTCGCGTACTCGTGTTTCACGCATGGGACGCAGGTTCTTACGTCATATGCTAACGACATAACACACTTGTGAGCGTACATTCAACTGTATCTACAACAAGAAGTTGTAATAGAAATAATCTTTATTCAAATAAACTCATTACAAGCACTTTTGAATAGTCATATTTTGATTCTACCACTCATTGGGAATGTAATCACAAGAAACTTGTGAGTTGCTCACAGAGTTGTAATAATAATAATCTCAGGACAATTCACGCAGCGCCATCTAGTCTCAAGTTAAGCTAGCTAAAGTTTGTGTTATGGGTACTAGACAACTGATACAAATACATAGATATATTTTTTTTTCGTGAATACATACAGATCATACATAATAAACACGCAGACCGATACAAACATTCATACTCATGATTACAAATGTTTGTGCCGTGCGAGGAATCAAACCCGTGACCATCGAACGGAGGCGGTGTGCTAAACCACTAAGAACCCGCGACCATCGAACGTAAAGCGGTGTGTTAACCACTAGACCATCGAGGTCGTCATCGTAATATGTAGAATAGAATAGAAAAAATCTTTACTCTAATAAACTTAATATAAGCACTTTTGAATAGTCATATTTTTTATATTCTAACACTTATTCTGCAAAATAAGTTTCAAACTTTAAAAGTGGTGATTCTTCTGTACAATCTGTTGTCTCTCCTTTCAACCCCTTACAACCCTTTTTTTTATAATAAAATGTCCGTTCTGAACTATCTGTGTACCAAATCACAATGTAACGAAGGACGAACCCAATAGATCTATGCAGGTCGCAGTATTACAGGTCTTAGCACCAGACAATAGCCCAAAACTCTTAATAAAAAATGGTTTTGGCGTAAAAGTGCAACAGACAGACAGGCAGAGTTACTTTCGAATTTATAATATTAGTAAGAATTTATATTAATAGAAGGATAATGTTAATAGGTAATTATGAAACAAAAAATTTATCAATCATCGATTGATAATTATTTTACCTCTGTGGTCTAGCAGTTAAGCACATCGCTTTTATTCCGATTATCGCGGGTTCGATTTCTCGCACGGCACAAATATTCATTCATGAGTATGATTATTTGTGTCGGTCCGGGTGTTTTCTATGTATAATATGTATGTATTTACAAAAAAAATATCTATGTGTTTGTATCAGTCATCTAGTACCTATAACACAGGCTTTAGTTAGCTTTAACTTGGGTCTGGATGGCGCTGTGTGAATTGCCTTGTAATTATGATTATTAAATGTTAACTCAGTGATTTGTCGGTGAAATCTACAAATGGGCGTGATATTAAATATTATGCTTATTCAACTACCTACAAAAACGTAATAAATGCAATTACAAACATATTTTCTCTTAACGTTTCACTTTTTAATTGAAACCATTACAAATTACACAGAAATGTTCCACGGCATTTAAATTTGTAAATCATTTATTCAAGTTGGACATTTTAGCCGCTTATAAACGTCCAGTTTTTACATTATATTTTTTTCCCTACCGTCCAGTTCGGTATATAGATCCAATCGAGAAGAACTGGCAAGAGACTCAATTGAATTACTTTTTTTTTTAATCTAGTTTATTTACAATGCATAGGTATTTACAATATATAGGTGTCTATGTCTAACATGAAATGAAAATCCCGAACATGAAAACTATTGCCATGCACGCTCGTCATTCAAGTAATCGTTTAGTGAGTAATAGGCCTTGCTCAGTAAATACGATCCCATCAAAAACATAAATGTGAAATGATAGCCGAGTTTAATATTATGATATATGCCTTGATTGTTGACTACTACGACAAAAGAGGTGAGATCTAAATGGGTGCCAAGTTCAATGGTCTGTCCTGAAATGTATTTATAACAATATAAAATATCATTTCTTCTTATAACTTAGGATAATATACTGTAGCCTAAGGTCTGACTTGGCCAGTTCTCATATACCAATTATTACTTTCGATTGCTAGTTACTACTAATAATAAAATAGGAACCGACAAGTAACATGTTTAGAACTTGCGAAGGCTACAGCATATTTCGTATATGAAAACTAGCCAAGTTAGACCTTAGGCTACAGTATATTATTCTAAGTTATAAGAAGAAATGATATTTTAATAAATAAATACCAACCACTGTACCAAAATAATAGCAGTGCTATTATTTTGGTACAGTGATGTTCTCGGGATAATGTCTAAAACTAACCTCTCTGCATTACGAGTGTTACGTGGATATATGTCCTTGGCTTTCGTAAAAAAGGGCTTATATTAAGATTGTTTGAATAAAGATTATTTCTATTTCTATTTCTATTTCACATGTTGTTTTTTATTGGATAAGAAATCCATACGCACCTCTCGAACATATTAACTGTTTTCTGACACAAAAATAAACTTATTAATGTAATAAACGCGTATGTTTGTGAGTATGGATGTTTGTAACTCTTCCAGGTAACAAATACTGAACGGATTTTCATGAAACTTACAGTAGGTATAGTTTATACATCAGAATAACACAGGCTATTTGTATGCGAGTGAAAGTGAAAGCTAGTCTATACATCTAAATAAAATTGGAGTGTCTGTTTGTAATATTGAAATAACAGTTTTTTACTACATGCATATGAATGTAAATACGGTACATACATGAAAATAAAATTAACACATTACTGTTTAGATTGCATCTGATATAATTTCATTAATTACAGGCCAACGTCTCCATTAACCGCGCACTAACAGTATCTGTGCTGTACTTCATTACATAGTATAAAACAAAGTCGCTGTCGCTGTCTGTCCGTCCCTATGTATGCTTAAATCTTTAAAACTACGCAACGGATTTTGAAGCGGTCTTTTTTAATAGATAGAGTGATTCAAGAGGAAGGTTTATATGTATAATACATGTACACCCGTGCGAAGCCGGTGCGAGTAGTTAGTTTCTTATAAAGTACAGTTATTTTGTATATGTTAATTTTTTGGCGGCGTTGCTTTATTGCCGATGGTCGCAAGTTCGATCCTCGCACGCTAATAATTTTGTGTTTATGTGTATTATAATAATAATAATCCCATCAAAAACATAAATGTGAAATGAGAGCCAAGTTCAATATAAGGGTAGTTGACTTCAACTGCATCCTCTCTCTTTCCATCCTTGTCTCATCTCATCTCTCTCATCTCATCTCGTTCATATTAGTAAACTAGCTGTTCACGCGATTTCGTCCGCGTGGAATTTAACTTTATTTTTCTAAAATAAAAGTAGCCTAAGTTACTCCTTATTACGTCAGCTACCTACCAATAAAAATCTCGTCAAAATCGGTCCAGCCATTCAGAGATTAGCCGCAAGAAACAGACATACAGACAGACAAAAATGGTAAAAATTGTTATTTTGGGTGTATGTACCGTATTTATATTCATATGCATATAGTAAAATCCGGTTATTTCAATATTACAAACAGACACTCCAATTTTATTTATATGTATAGACGTATAGATTGTCCTGAGATTATTATTATTTCATCCGTCATACTCGTGAACGAGTGCTCCTTGTAGGGACTGGTCTGCTCTATCATTACGACTGATTTAATCTTATTGTGTAGTTATATTTAACCCCAGTGCTGGTTGGTAGTTTGTATTCACACATTTCAAATTGTATAATGTGAACTTACAAGGATTATTTAAAAGAGCAACACACAAGTTTCTTGCTCGTTCTTCTTGTGGTGAGACAGCTTTCCGAATGAGTGGTAGATTAAAAAAATATTATGACTATTCAAAAGTGCTTAAATTAAGTTTATTTGAATAAATGATTTTCTATTTTATTCTATTTGCAGGTGGTGAGTTGTTCTCGCAGCGGTTCGAGCGGTACACTCTGCATGTGACGGCGCTGTATGAGCAGGTGGTGGTGTCATGGGCGCTGCCGACGCAGGCCACGCGGCAGGAGGGCATCGCCAAGGAGACCCTCGACAACCGCTGGCACTGGGTCGCGCTCCGCTACCGGCCCAACCCGCCCGCGCTCCTACTAGAGCTGGACAAAGACTCTATGGTAAGATCCAACGTTATACTCGTCAAATGTGGTACTAAGTCTTAAGTTTTTTTAAGGATGATTAGCTATGCACGCGGCTTCATCCGCGTTAAATTTCAATAAAAAGTATAGCCTATGTGTTATTATGACCCATAAGCATTGTTACTGTAAAGTTTTATAAAAATCCGTTAAGTAGTTTTTGCGTGAAAGAGTAACAAACATATATAATAAACTCATATCATAAACTTTCACGTTTATAATACGCTGTACCAACGGTTTCACCCGCATTTAATTTCTATAATAAATATAGACTATGTGTCATTCTGATGTATAAGCTATATTACTGTAAAATTTCCTCAAAATCCGTTCAGTACTTTTTTCTCGTTATTAAGATTCTATTCAAGGAACCATAAAGACTAAACAAACATTTTGCTCAAAAGTTCAAAGTTTAATAGCCACATGACGCCAGCTGTGTGCGCCAGAGACGACGATACTTCCTTCTCTTTCTCACATATACTAAAACGTATAAATATAATTTTAAAACGTGTCATATGATATGGCTTTGTGAAACTTGAATATGAGTGTTGTGTTGCAGGTGATCTCAAATGTAACGTGGAACCCGGAGCTGCTGTCGCCGGGCGCGCTGGAGGCGGGCGGCGCGGAGGTGCTGGTGGGCAACGTGTTCAGCGGCTGCATCCATGAGGGGCCCCAGCTCGAGTTCCACGCGGCCAACGCACAGTTCAGCAACGTTGTCTTCGGACACTGCCCACTCTCCACCGACGAATGTTAGTAGCCAAATTGATACTTCTTTCTCGGATTCGTCGGGTTATTTATTGCTATTTTATTAATAAGAAACAAATTAATATGTGCGTTGTTATTTACAGGTAAAGATGGGAAGGATGTATTGAGGATACCACCGAAAGACCACTGCTACAATGAGCCGTGCATGCGACACGGGACCTGCATATCCAGACACGACAGGTGTGTTTTTAAATATATATACTAAAAATCTATGCAAAAAATTATAGAACTGTATTAAAAAAAACATTTATAAGATCCATAACACAATGACAGAATATTTTTTAGTAAAAATAAATTAAATACACATATAAATCAATAAGAAAAATACTAAATACTATTATAATTGTCATGTCAGATTTTTTTTTATTTAGTTTTACGGCTCTGGATACAAGTCCTTTTTAGCCCAACTTAACACGTACACTAACTCGAAGTTATACAAGATATCAATGATATGTTGCCACAGTAAAAGAACCCAGCCATCTATTGAATGACAGAGAGAAAGTGTGAGGAAGAGAGCCTCTGGGGCGGATCGTGAACTTGTTGGACTATGGGCTAAAACTACTTAGGGCCAACCTAATCATATTACTCAACTAAAAAGAAACACCGACCAAAAATAAGCGATGGAGAATTCCCCGTTTCTCAGATCTCAGTGTTGCCAACCTTATGATAGGTATTTTAATATTATGATTTTTTAAATTCAATATGTCGCCTATTGTTTTCAAAGGGGGGTTGAGGGCCCCTTGTATTCATAGGGCCCTGGACTGCGGCTCAAGAAGCCCTTAGGTAGGTCCGCCCCTGGAGAGGCTAAGTGAATTATGTTTGTGTTTAACCATGATTGCAGTAGAAGTGTGTATTTACAATGTATGACATGACATATGATGTGGTGGTAAATTCAACTTCAAATAAAAAAATCATTTATTCACGTAGGACATTTTAGCCGCTTATGAACGTGAATTTTTTATATTATAATTTTTCCCTACCATCCAGTTCAATATATAGATCCAATTGAGACCTGGCAAGAAACTCAATTGAACTACTTATTTCTTTAAGGCCAGTTTATTTACAATGTATATTTATATAGGTGTGTATGTCTAACATTAAATGAAAATCCAGTGAATGAACAACTATTGTCATGCACGACGGTGATGTGCAGGTACGAGTGCCACTGCACGGCGCGGTACACGGGCAACAACTGCGAGGTGGACGCGGGCCCGCCGTGCGCGTCGGGGGCCTGCCTGCACGGCGCTCGCTGCCTCGAGGACGCCCGCGGCGACTACACCTGCCTCTGCACGCCGCCTTACCACGGTGACTACCACATCTATAATAATAGTAATTCTCACCACAGTTTACCCAGCGCCATTGAGTCCCAAGCTAAGCAAAGCTTATGTTGTGAGTACTGGACAACTGATATAAATACATTGATACATTTTTTTTGTCTGTATATAACATAATTTGTTTGCTCTCTATCTAAATATATATAACTCAAAGGTGACTGACATAGTGATCTATCAACGCACAGCCCAAACCACTGGACGGATCGGGCTCAAATTTGGCATGCAGGTAGATGTTATGACGTAGGCATCCGCTAAGAAGGGATTTTGATTAATTCTATCCCTAAGGGGATAAAATATGGGATGAAAGTTTGTACGAAACTTTGTCAATTATAAATCGATCGGGCTGAGACTTTGCATACATAAAGCTACTATGACGTAGGCATCCCCTAAGAAAGGATTTTGATAAATTCCATCCCTAAGGGGATAAATTAACGAGCGAAGCCGCGGGCAAAAGCTAGTGTAAAATATAGAGTTAAGTAGAGAAGAGTTCTTTTTTTTAATGTATGATAATGTAATTGTGCGTCCTGTTATACTTCGGCTCTGTAGCCTATAGTGCTGCCTTGGCGACCACACCTTGCTGGATCAGCGTCTGGCTCGCTTGGAATTAGGATAAGATAGATACCAAGTCAGTCTGTATTCACTCTCGGTCATAAACAGGATAAGAATTAAGATAAGTTTTTTTGAAAACCAATTTATCCATACCAGATGAGGTAACCAGTGGGAACCGTATGGAGGTCAACCTGATATGGTGTTATCAGTCCACGCTACAAACAATCGACGTAACTCACAATTCTCTGTATATATATATAGAGTATGCGTAACAGTTGGTGTGCGCCCGCAGGTCGGCACTGCGAGCTGGAGGTGTCCCTGGACCCGGTGTGCGTGGCGGGCCCGTGCCGCAACAACGGCAGCTGCAGCGTGCCGCCCGGCGCCACCTCCTACGTCTGCGACTGTCCGCCAGGTACACCACCCCCGCCTCTACGACCACTCTTTTTTTCTACATTTACACATAATTTCTTTCGTTTTAGCTGATTCCCGCGTGTACAACAATTGCCGGAGACTCCGGCACTTCTCGCACCAAATCCTACCACCTCTTACCTGCTGCTTTATTTTAATTAAATAGTGATCGCTTCTATTCTTTGATCCACCTCATCGCATGGGGATGCACTGTTACTTGCTTATTGATCAAATGCTTAGGTTCATAGCTTGATGTTTAATACTTCCAGCTTTTCTCGTTCTTTTTTATTAAAAGCAAAACACTTTCAAACAGTTATTTGTATTTTTTGTTGTTGTATTACAATATTGTAAAAAGGAAATATTTGATCTTTTGTATGGTTGTGTGCAATGGATTTGTCATCAGCATAATATATAATTTAATAATTTTGCAAACTTAATATTATGGATATCACTGAGGTATAATTTAAATAATGTGGGTCCGAGAATGCTACCCTGCGGAAATCCAAAGTTTATGGTTGGACCATTGCTTCCAAACTGTGCTAACTTTAGGCAATGCCTTCTGTTATTTGAGTATTTGCTGAACCTATTTAATGCTAGACGTCTGACACCTGATTCTTCCAGTTTTTTTTAGGAGCAATTTATTGGATACCATGTCAAAAGCTTTAGCCAAATCCAAAAACATATACAATGTGTTTGGTATGGTTTTGAAATGTTTCGGACCTTGTTGCAGGGTTCACGGGCCGCAACTGCGAGCAGGACCTGGACGAGTGCGCGGCGGCGGGCGGCGGAGCGTGTCTGCACGGCGGACGCTGCATCGACGCACCCAACGACTACACCTGCGACTGCACCGCCACCGGTACGTATATATAGAGCGGCCACTGCACCGCCACCGGTATGTATATATAGAGCGGCCACTGCACCGCCACCGGTACGTATATATAGAGCGGCCACTGCACCGCCACCGGTATGTATATATAGAGCGGCCACTGCACCGCCACCGGTACGTATATATAGAGCGGCCACTGCACCGCCACCGGTACGTATATATAGAGCGGCCACTGCACCGCCACCGGTATGTATATATAGAGCGGCCACTGCACCGCCACCGGTACGTATATATAGAGCGGCCACTGCACCGCCACCGGTATGTATATATAGAGCGGCCACTGCACCGCCACCGGTACGTATATATAGAGCGGCCACTGCACCGCCACCGGTACGTATATATAGAGCGGCCACTGCACCGCCACCGGTATGTATATATAGAGAGGCCACTGCACCGCCACCGGTATGTATATATAGAGCGGCCACTGCACCGCCACCGGTATGTATATATAGAGAGGCCACTGCACCGCCACCGGTATGTATATATAGAGCGGCCACTGCACCGCCACCGGTATGTATATATAGAGCGGCCACTGCACCGCCACCGGTACGTATATATAGAGCGGCCACTGCACCGCCACCGGTACGTATATATAGAGCGGCCACTGCACCGCCACCGGTATGTATATATAGAGCGGCCACTGCACCGCCATCGGTATGTATATATAGAGCGGCCACTGCACCGCCACCGGTACGTATATATAGAGCGGCCACTGCTAGCAGGACGTGTACGAATGCAGCGCATTCGTCCACCGTTTGGCGGGTGATCACCATAGAACCCCTAAATTGTCATCCTTCTGTTATCGTACCCCATTATATAATAGTGATAGTAGTTATTAAATTGATGACCCATCTGATATTTTACAGAGCTATAAGTATTTTTAATTCGTCGGTTTTGAATTGAATAGAATAAAATACAACAGAAAATCATTTATTCAAATAAACTTACATAGAAGCATTATTGAATAGTCATCACATTTTTTTAAACTAACGCTCATTCGGAAAACTATCGCATCACAATAAGAACGAGCAAGAAACTTGCGTGTTTTGAATTCTATGTATTTCTAATTTTACTATCTACTGATGACACTATTGTTATGTATTTCTGTACATATTGTCTACAAGTTATGATCATATATGTGTATGTTCGTAGGGTACACTGGCGCGCGTTGCGAGATTAACATAAACGAGTGCGAGGAGGAGCCGTCGGTATGCGGGCGTGGCGTGTGTTATGACACGTACGGCGGGTTCGTGTGCGCCTGCCTGCCCGGGTACACCGGCGAGAGATGCCACAGGGTATGTACACGTCACTTGCTTCTACACGGACGCTCTTTTACCCGGAAAAGAGGGTGTATGTAAGGTTAGAGGAACGAGAACGAATGCGAGTTTGCTGTTTGCTTGATCGTTAGTAGTTGTTACACGATACGTTTATTTCTCACGCAATTAGGAGTGCGCGCGTGTATTTGTGTGACAAGACATATTTATTCGCGTAATTATGTGCATTTCACAGTTTTTTTTTTTAAAGTGATTACTCTTTTAAAGCATGATAATTCGTATGGTTTAAGATAAGTAATATTTTTTTTGAATTGTGTTTTTATTCCAAATATTTTAATTTCTAAAGAGACGTTTTAATTATATAAATAATCAATATCTGTAATTATGTCTTTGCTCTACAAACTAATATTTGCTATTTAAAATATTATTAAAAGGCGCTAAAACACGGAAGATTGACGAACACAATGCGCGATTTTCCGATGCGTGCGTTCTTTCGTTCGTTTCGTTCGTCCTCTTTGCCTACATTAACATTATTTCCTCCGTAAATGCGGATTGCGCGCGTGAAGGAGTTTACGTATAAAGGCAGCTACTAAATGTATCACGTAACGTGCGCGCGCGCAGATGTCTGCGTGCGCGTCGGGCCCGTGCGGCGCGGGCGGCGCGTGCGTGGAGGAGGGCGGCGGCGGCGGCTTCCGCTGCGTGTGCGCGCGCGGCTGGGCCCCGCCCCTCTGCACCACGCCCCTCCCCGCACCACCCGCACCACCCGCACCACCCGCGGACACCCCCGCCCCGCCGCCGGCCTGCGACGGCCTCGCCTGCCCGCACCACTCGCACTGCGCCTACCACAATACGCATATAGGTATGACCTTGTATGATTTTCTTTATGATACGGTCAAGGCAAATGAATATACGGCCATGATGGAGACATTCATGTACGTAGGTGGCCGTTCAAGTATTACGTAAGCTGATTTATTACCCCCTCAGCAAAAGTAAGCAAAACTCTTATTTATTTTTACGTTTATTGCTCTGACTGTACTCTGTATTATAATATTATTGGTATTCTATAGATGCGTCTAATGCGGCCGCCGGTGTCGGTGTATCGACTCAGCAAGTGACATGTGTATGTGACCAGGGATATTATGGTTAGTAGATTTTTTTAGTAACTTCGTTAACTGAATTACAGAATAGTTTGGACAAAAATAGCCTTTTCATAGTTTTTTTTTTAATTTAATCATTACTAATTAATATTGTGCGTTACTTGAATAATATTGAATGAGAATATAATAAAATTTACTATAATAAGAAATACTTCTATTATAAATACTTGTTTTAAATAGAAATAGAAATAATCTTTATCCCAATGAACTCATTACAAGCACTTTTGCATAGTCATATTTTGATTCTACCACTCAACTCTACCGCACAAATCTACCGCTCGTTCGGAAAGCTATCTTATCACAAGAAAAACGAACACAAATTTGCATGTTGTCCTTTTAAATAATTGTTGTAACTTTACTTTTTGAAATCGCATTGTGAATACTCACTACCGACTAGTACCAATTGATGAGTCAAAACATTAAATACACAACCAACTGGTTGAGGAACTAAAAAATTAAATCAGTCGTAGTGATTGGAGCAGATGCAGAAAAAATAACATAAGATATGTGATAAATAACACGTGTGCGTGTGCGTGCACGTGGGCAGGCGCGGCGAGCGTGGCGGCCACGTGCGCGGAGGTGAGCGCGGCGTGCGCGGCGGGCGTGTGCCTGCACGGCGCCACGTGCTCGCAGGCCGCAGATTCCTTCCATTGCGCTTGCGCACCCGGATATCGCGGTATCTGCTTTTCTATACGCCTACATGTCATGCCATATGCTTTCCTCATCCATATCTGATGCCCAATGCACCCGCCACTCCTAGTGTAATCGTGTGCAATGCACCTAGTGAGGGGTTCTTACCGTCGTCTCACTATGCGCATTCTGTATAATGTCGCCTACACTAGGAGTCGTGTGTGAATTAGCTTAGTTTTGCAGACCGTATGTCTTGTTTGCATTATCTGTTATCATATAAAAATTATAATTTTTTCTATAAACTAATTTCAATTCTTTATGTTTTGTAATTTTATATTCAATATTTAGAATTTGATTAGTGCAACCATATTTTTTGTTGACTATCTAACATAGAGGTGGACTAAAGCGTAGGCATTCTAGGCACGCATCTAGGTCCCGTAATTTTGCGCCCGAAATTTATTAAATTTTTTTAATTTATTTTTATTTGACCCCGACTTCGTACAGGTGTATGTATTATACATATAAACCTTACTCTTCAATCACTCTATCTATTACAAACACCACTTCAAAATTCGTGGATAATTTTAAAGAATTAAGTTTACATAGGAACGAACAGACAACGACAGCGACTTTATTTTATAATCATCATCATCATCATCGCAGCCCGGAAGATGTCCACTGCTGGACATAGGTCTCCCCCAAAGATCTCCAAGACGATCGGTCCTACGCTGCTCGCATCCAATGCCTCCATTTTATAATATGTAATGATTACTGCTAATACGAATCTAAATTATGCCGAATCGTAGATTAATATTTTACGGCCCAGAATAGCAGTGTTGCCTAGGTCTTAGTCTGCCTCTGATTTAACCTCTGACATAACTCATTGCCGAACCGTCGAGTCTTAGCTGTTAGCTTTGAGCATGGTAACCCCATACGTGTTGTCCGTCGCTTCGTTAATCCGTACGGAAGTGTGGTTACCGTGGCGACGTTGTCGGTGCGTGTCGATGCGTGTCGGTGCGTGTCGGTGCGTGTCGGTGCGTGTCGGTGCGTGTCGATGCGTGTGGGTGCGTGTCGATGCGTGTCGGTGCGTGTCGGTGCGTGTCGATGCGTGTCGGTGCGTGTGGGCGCGTGTGGGTGCGTGCGGTGACGTGTGCGGTGTGACGTAGGCACGTACTGCGAGCAGGCGGTGGGCAAGGCGCTGGCCGACCTCAAGGCGCCCGAGCGCTGCGCCGCCGCCCCCTGCCTCCACGCGCGCGCCTGCCTCGACCTCGTGAGTACCGCCCCTCGCCTCTACCTCCACCCTCAACACACCGCCATATCCACCTTACCCCAGCCTAGTAACTTTCCAACTTTCAATCGTGACCTTTTTTATCCTGTGAAAACTCTTCAAAGAACCGTCCCGCCGCATGATAGCTAAGAAGGGGGTGTGTGAGATTCTTATCCACTAAAAAGCATACGGTAAATCATGTTTTTTTAATGGATAAGAATCTCACACATTCCTTATGGGGAATAAGGGATGTGTGAGATTCCTATATCCCATATTGTCAGAGTCGCCTTAGCGTAACTACTGCAGCTCTGGCGACGTTAGCTCACCCTGGAGATGATAGAACAGGCCCTCCATATCTCCCTTACAGTCAATTTGTAACTTCCTACCTTTCCAGCCTCCCATACTACCCATATTTTTTTTGCACCTCTCTATGCTCCCCTGATCACAAGTTTATACACATACCCCAGCGTTGGCTACCAGCACGCTGCGCTCTACACCACAGGGCACGTGTTGTCCGGACAGGTATATTGTTGTTTATATTATGTATGTATTGTTGTTAGCGGCTTGTCACACGCTATGCTATGTTTGTGAATGTTTTTCATAGTCGAGCAATGTTTTTGAAGATTTTTTTATCTGTAGAGATTGAGTGTTTCAGAAGGATATATATTAGTATGTATATTCTGTGATTTGTTTGTTCCATATGGCTCATAGTACGAGATTCGTATCAGCTCTTATTATGTACTATTTTGTATATTTACGGGTACAATGTCACTCGTGTACCATAGACAAATAATTTGTATATGAACTGAGAAGTAACGGAGGTGAAATCTATACATATAAATAAAATTGGAGTGTCTGTTTGTAATATTGAAATAACAGTTGTTTACTACATGCATATGAATATAAATACGCTACATACACACCAAAATAATATCTTTTACTATTTTTGTCTGTCTGTTTGTTTCGGCTAATCTGGGAAATGACTGCACTGATTTTTACGGGACGTTTATTGGCAGGTAGCTGATGTAATAAGGAGTAACTTAAACTAGTTTTATTTTTGAAAATTTCATTTATTTAAGAAAAATAAACTTAAATTCCACGCGGACGACGTTACGGATACAGCTAGTGATTAAGTAATTTGCAAATAAAATTACAAGTAAGAAAGAAAGAAAAATGTAATTCATATAAATAATGCAATATGTTCGTGGTGGGCAGCCGACGGGGTTCCAGTGCGAGTGTGAGGCGGGGTGGGGCGGGGCGCGGTGCAGCGTGGCGGAGGGCGCGGCGGGGGCCCCGGGGGGCGCGGGGGCTCCGGGGGCTCCGGGGGCGGACTGCTGCGTCGAGGGCGGGGACTGCCGCGCAGACTGCGGCGCCACCGCGGACTGCCGCGCCGGGGGCTGCCCGCATCACCAGGTGCATTGTCTCTTTTATTCTCATTGTCCTAAGGAATGTAGTAATTGCTATTTAATTTGAAAATATAATTTAATCTGCAGCATACTGTTTATGGTTTAAATTTGTTGTATTTAATTTTTTTTACTAACACTTTTTCATGTGAAGTAATAAATTATTAAACAACTTGCCTGAGAAAAGAAATATTATGCTACTACTTCGTACTACTACACAATATTATATGTGTATCTATTTAGCAAAACTGTTAAATTTCCTCGATAAATCACGTATGTTATAGTTACGGTTAAATCAAAACTAAATCAAATGTGCACCAGATTCAAAGAATGAATGTCAAAGAGTTTCTTTTATATATACCTATGCTGAATTCGATATTACTTGATTGCAGTATACTGAGCTATTTTCTTATGCGATGTGTGTAGGAGTGCATTGAGCAAGGGGGCGCTTGGAGGTGCGCGCCGGGCACCGCCGCCGCGGACGAGGAGCCGCCGCCGAGTGAGGGGGGCGCGGGGGGTGCGGGCGGTGCGGGGGGCGCGGGGGCGGCGTCGGAGGCGGGGGCGGCGGGGGAGCCCCCGTGCGCGGCCGCCGCCTGCCTCAACGGCACCTGCGTGCCGCTCGACGCCGGCCTCTACCGCTGCCAGTGCCTGCCGGGGTACACCGGTAAGTTACGCACTACACTCATCTTCGTGTATTTATTTTCAGAGATGGTTATGATTATATTCATCCAAAGGGCCCAAAATATTATACTCAGAACAGTATCGGTGTTTCTTGGTACATCACCAACACCGAAATTCACAAGAAACTTGGCGTACTGACAGTAATGGATATCCTCAATTGCAAATAATATAAAAAGCGACTATGTAACCATCCAAATCGACTGGCTGCTCAATTATTACAAAAACTTTACCCCAAGCGATTAAAAAAAGCGGCATTGTGTTTGCAGTTTCTTAAGGAGCAGATCCTCCCGCTGGGGTGAACACTCCATTATTAGTTCCCACACCCAAAAAATCTGCTCTTAGTTAAAAAAAGATGATTATGGAATAGTGCACCCGCCTGCACTAACGGTTCACGCTGGCGGGGCACCAGTGGAGGATGAGGATGATAAGATGAGCATGAGGTCATATCAGTTAGCCCATTGTCACAAGGAATTTATTACGATGTTTTCGAGACCGCGTGGAGGTTGACCTGACATGGTATATTGCTAGCAATGGAGCTACTATCCTCATTAATTAAGTTCTGTTTATAGAACCTAGTTTTGTATTATTGTTATACTATGATGGTGACAAACATACAAAATAACACTTTTTAAAATTTTTGTCTGTCTATCTGTTTGTTCCGGCTAATCTCTGAATTGGCTGAGTCGATATTGACGGGACTTTTTTTAGCAGGTAGCTGATGTAATAAGGAAACTTAGGGTACTTTTATTTTAGAAAAGTAACGTTAAATTCCACGCGGACAAAGTCGCGGGTACAGCTAGTAGTATAAAAGAATTGTTTGAAACGAAGAAATAAAAGAAATTTATTGTTAAATTTCAATATTTTTAATAATACATTGTATTAAACAAACATTATTTGAACTGATATAATTCTCTAAGAATTTCTCCAATGATTCAAATATAATAAGCAATTAAAATAACAATATACTGGATGCACAGATCTAAACAGCAACCCTATATATTATGAATCTTCTGAAAATACTGAACCAATCATGTATGCGGGTGTGTCGGATATCCTTTTGCCTTTTAAGTTGACCGCGTAAGGTAGTAAGGAAGGGTACCGTCTATAGATACCACGCGCATCAGGGGTCCAAGCTTGGACTTTACACAGTGTACCCTTTTTGGCCGTGACAGCCACCCACGCCACAGACGACAACACCACGTCACCGCAGCACAATTTAGGGCCCTCCCCGTCAAATTCAAAGGTGTTGCCACATTTCTCTAAACCTGGCCATTTCTTCAGTCTCTCTTCACCACCAGACGGTGCTCCAAACAATTCGGTACCTAGAAACTTATCATAAACATCCCCAGCATCTTCAGTTTTTGATACAGTTATAGGTAGACTTTCAGAGCAAAACACTGTAAAACGGCATGGATGTTCACAATCTACGTGATCTACACGAGCTAAACCACCTATAAATAGCGTAAACCCTTTATGCAAGTAATAAGTCTGCGGTTTAATAGTCTTCTTGGGAATAGTCAGAAGCAATTCTTCTGTGGTTAGCAAAGATAACACTTGGTCTGGATGAATGACTCCTGGGGTGTCATAAAACCACTTGCTCTTTGCAAACAGTTCATGCTTCTCATTCAGGGTCGTCATTTTCTTTTGCCCTTCCCCAATGTCACCGTCGCCGTACAACTCCGAAAAATATCTTCCGATATGTCCTATAAGTGTGGGCGTTTCTTTCGGAGCCATTCCTTGCAGCTGCGCTTTCCTTATTTCCTTCTCAACTTTCATAAGTTTAGCTTCAGATTTCAGTCTTCGAGTCCTTTGGTATATCTTCCAACCGGACGGCCGGTTAATCGGGAACTTGAGGAGGTGCAAAGTGGTTCCTGGCCATCTACTGACAGTGGCTCTTTTAACGATATCTACAGCATGTACTTTGCAGTAATCTGATTGCAGCAGGGCATTGAACAGGGAGCTCTTGCCAACGTTAGTGCAGCCGACAAGGTACACATCTCCCTTGTATAACCACTCTTTAAACATGGCAGATATGAGATCTTCAACTCCGTAGCCAGTTTTCGCCGATATGAGGCCCACATACTTGATATTGGCATCTTTGAGTTTAGTTTTGTTAATTTCTGTAATTAGTGATTCTTTAATGCGCTTCAGATAACCAATACTGTCACCGGGAAGTAGGTCCACCTGGAAATATCAAATTATATTGTTTAATCTATACATATAAATAAATTTGGAGTGTCTGTTTGTAATATTGAAATCACCGTTTTTTATTACTTGGTACATGGCATCAATAAAAAACGGTACATACACCAAAACATAACATCTCTGAAATGGCTGGACCGATTTTGACGGGACTTTTCTTTGGCAAGTAGCTGATGTAATAAGGAGTAACTTAAGCTACTTTTATTTAAGAAAAATTAAGTTAAATTCTACGCGGACGAAGTCGCGGGTACAGCTATTAATTTATAAAATAAATTACACTAAGACTGTAGTTGTAAATAAGGGAGTCATGTTTATATATAAAAATTATGTGGCACATTGTTTGTCCGTGATGGACTCCTAAACTACTAAACTATTGCAAATTTGATTTGCACATTGTGTGCAATTTGATTCAACTTGAAAGATAGGATACCGTACATCTCAATTTATAGTCGCAATATTATTTTATTCAAGAACCTTAGCCACAGGCCGGGTCTGATAGTTATCCAAAATAAAATAAATCTAAACCAAAAGGGTTTACCTTATTGCCAACCAGAATAATTGGCCTTTCAGTGCCGATAATGTCCACAATGCCTGGCCAAATTGAGCATGGGAAGTCAAGCAAGTCTACCATAAGGAGCACCAAAGATTTGACATATCTGAAAACAATGTATAAATTAAAATTAATACAGCAAAGTTAGATAAAGAAACCTTTATTCTGCACTTTATAACACATCTTTATTTATCTATACATATAAATAAAATTGGAGTGTCTGTAATATTGAAATAACAGTTTTTTATTACATTCATATGAATGTAAATACGGTACATACACCAAAATAACATTTTTTACAATTTTTTGTATGTCTGTCTGTTTGTTCCTGCTAATCTCTGAAATGGCCGGACCGATTTTGTCGGGACTTTTATTGGCAGGTAGCTGATGTACAAAATAACATTTTTATTTTAGAAAAATAAAGTCAAATTTTTTGTACAGTTTAGTATAATCAATGTATACTGTTAAATTCTACACAATTCATACAGTAAAAAATAAGTTTAATATCACTGTATGTCCAATACAGCAGTTCATATCTTTATAAATTACTGATACTGGTGATGGCATAGATGCATTACAAATCTTTGAATTTCTCTACTTGATCTATACTATAACATATTTATGCATATAAACCTTCATCTTGAGTTACTTACTTACTTATTGCTGAAAACTGCTTTAAAATCCATTGCGTAAATTAAAAGATAAGGAAACAGACAGTGTACTTTTTTTTATATTGAACTAGCTGTTGTTTTGCCTTAAAATTTAGGGGGATGATGAAAAATAGATGTTGGCTGATTCTCTGACCTACTCAATACGCTCACAAAATTTCATGAGAATCAAGCCGTTTCGGAGGAGTACGGGAACGAAAACTGTGACACAAGAATTTTATATATAAGATAAACATAACAGAAATAGAAATAGAAATAATCTTTATTCAAATAAACTCATTACAAGCACTTTTGAATAGTCATATTTTGATTCTACCACTCATTCGGAATGCAGATTCATCACAAGAAGAACGAGCAAGAAACTTGTGTGTTGCTCTTTTTAATAGATGTTTTTTTTATATAAATAATTACAGTATAACAAGTAAGAGGCATGCGATAATCAACATAGAAATCGCTACGCACTCATTATTAGTGTAATTTGATAATATTGTCAGTGCTATGGATTTAAAGTTTTAACAAATATGTATTACCTTATAGATTGCAACAATCTCTCATATTCCTCTGGTTGCACGCTAATATCCAGTGCAATGTTATATTCCTTAAGAAAGTGGCAACGCTGACATTCTATTGCTTTTAATTCATTACGAGTCCGGCCTCGGAAGATTTCACTGGGCAAATATCCAGGGATGGACGGGTCACTGCAATGGAGTAGTGCTCCGCAGCCCCCACACGGCACTCGACTCACTTCCACACTAGGATCCGGAGTACCATAGTGTTTAAACCAATCATTTAATGTTTCTGTGTCACTCTCCACATCTTCATTATCTAATTGAGAGTCGTCAAAATGTTCATAGTTTGCCATCCATCTTTTAATATTTGTTTGATCGAATTCTGCTTCATTATCATTATTTACACTATGTGGTGTCTTGACTTCTTCATTACTTATATCTACAGGCTTAGTACTGGCAAATGGGATTTGGAATGCTTTCTCAGGCTCTTGTTGTGGCTCATTTGAATCTTCCACCAGTAACCTATCTTTATCGACATAATATTGCAACGCCACAGGTAACGGGGGCAAGTTTCTATTCCTATACTCTTCCTTCTGTATTTCTTTAGCCTTTTTTATAGTCTTCAAATAATATTTGAAATAACCTAATTCTAGTTTTTCGTGATCTAAATAAGAACTAAAGATTATTTTATCCTTGTGTTCCTTAAGAATAGATGGGAAATCTTTTGTAAACTTATTTTGACTCGATTTACCTGACTTTGGCTCGTCTGATGCTTGGACATGATTGAAACGTTTCTTGTAGAAAGTGAATCGATTTCGACAAAACCTTGAAATAGTATTCATTGAATATATCATGTTGAAGCAATATATCACAGTTGGAACTCAATTTCGGCTAACTCATATTTTATATTTCGAGATTCGTAACAATAACAAAACTAACAAATACAAATTAATCGCACATGTTGACAAGTTCTACATGTGTACAGAGTACTCAAAAGTCAATTGAATGTCAAATTGTTTGTCAATGTCAAGTAGCGAATGACATAACGGTCTCATGCGTCACATTTCGTTCGATATTTGTCTATGGACTTGACAGCGCGGCCAAGCGCGCCATTATTCAAATATGTTCAAATATTATTTAGTAGGTATATGTTGTTCGTTTTATTATTTCGCTTAGGAATATCATTTGATAGGTTTTAGTTACTTATTCAATGTATGAGTGTGAAACACGTTCTACGTTGGCGATTGCGGTTTTTATAACAGTATAGCGTGAGTTCAAGTGCTCGCAACTCGCGACTTGCGAGACACTTGTGTAAACTCAGTAACTGTAATTCGATGTGACTAATCTCGTCATTTTAAATTCTCCAAGTGAATTATATGCAATTTATGAAATAATATTGTTCAAATGAGTGGCTTAATCGTAATTACACTACTATTGTTTGTTATTCGAGGTACTTGAACTGTAATAAATTGATAGTTGAGTTAAATTATAGATTTCTTCAATGGCTGATTTTTGTTTCAGGCCGTTTGTGCGACCTCGACGTAGACGAATGCACGCGGACACCTAAAATATGCAAAAATGGCGTGTGTGTCAACACTGTTGGATCCTACCAGTGCTACTGCAGACCCGGTAAGTGTTTCCATCATCAGTATATCATTAAAAAAAAAAATCTTTAATATACATATAGTACTTAAGGGTCTTGTGGCAACTTACAATTTCAATTATAAATTATGGCAATTGTTTTTTAATGTTGACAATAGCAAGATTTCGATAATTAATTTTCTGTATGTTTATTATGTTTGATTTTTACTTAAACAGATTAAATAGTGAATTTGCCTGGCGGGTTTTCACATTTGAATTAAAAAAAAAAATGGCGGTCTTCCACACATTACTACTACATCGTTTTGGCTGTTCTCACTTTTCTTTTTGTTGGGACTAGTTAGTGTAGTAACATACAAAAGATTATAGCGTGATGTTAAGTAGATTAAAAAAATTTACAAATATTATTGTAGTCCGACTTTTAATTTTAGAGATTAGCACTTACAAACTCTTCAGTTTTACATATCAGTGTATTTTATATTATGAATAACAATAAAGATAATAATATCAGGACATTTCACACAGTACCAGATAATAAGCTAGCTAAAAAACTTGTGTTACGGGTACAGATAACTGATACACACACATAGAAAATGATACACACAATCATACTTATGAATACAAATGTTTGTGTCGTTCGAGGAATCGAACCCGCGACCATCGGAAATAAGTCGGTGTGCTAAACCGTTAGATCGTCAGTATTATGTATGTATTTAACAAAAAAATCTAAGTATATATCAATTGTCTAGTACTCTTAATGCATGTTTTTTTCCCTTGTGGATGATAATGGAATGGTCCACCCGCCTGCGCTAACGGTTTACGCTGGCGGGGCACCAGTGGAGGATGATAAGATGAACATGAGGTCAGGTCAGTTAGCCCATCGTGACAAATTCACCAAGAATTCATTACGATGGTTTCCAGGGGGAACCGCGTGGAGGTCAACCTGACATGGTACATTGATAGTAATAGGGTCATGAGTCCACATTACTAACAATCCCCTTTCTCCTTAATACATGTTGCTACTTACCTTGGGACTAGATGACGTCGTATGAATGTTCAGGGGTTTGTTAAGTGTATGTGTGGGCAGGTTACACGGGCGACAGCTGCGACCAGGACATTGACGAGTGTCTGTCGTCGCCCTGCAAGAATGGAGGCACCTGTCACAACTTGGAGAACAATTACGAATGCACTTGCATGGAAGGCTACGAAGGTCAGTGGCAGTCAATATACTATTGTTACACACGCCTTTGTTTTTACTACTATTGTTTTATAGAGAACTAGTTAAGGCCGCGACTTCGTCCGCGTGGAATACACGGTGAATGACGAATTTCCATGCGAACTTTCATCCACTGTTTTATTTTATTCGTTATGCGTAAAATTCCTACAAACTTTGAATATCTGCGTAAAGCATCGAGTAAGCCCATTTTTAAAAAGAAATTATTAATTTTCTTCTGAATCACCAAAAAAGCTATATTAACTGTATTGCATTGTATTAGTATTATATTTATCTATATTTAACATTAATGTATGACATTATATAATATCAGGTATACTATATATATTATTATTTGTATATATTTATTTGCATTTCATATATATTATATAATATTTATTAGTAACTTTGTGTTTGTTTTTTGACATAACTGCCCCACAACGCTTTCTGTATACCTAAAGCTTAAGGTGGAGAATGCCATATGGCATTAAGCTCGCCTTTGTACAAGTTTTTTGTGCATTAAAGAATAAAATAATATCATATTTATTTATATTTAATCGACAGTTTAAAAATGACTGATACTTCCATACAACTTTTTATCTTCAATTATCATCATTCATCATTCAATCCCTTAGAACCCTTTTTTGGCATTAAATAGTAGTCTATGTCTTTTCTCAGGGTCTAAACTCTGGACTATCGTTGTACCAAATATCATTTAAATCGGTTCAGTAATTTTGCCGCGAAAGCGCGACGGGCAGACCTCATTACTAATATTATAAATGCGGAAGTAGAGTTACTTGAAACTGAATTTACAAATTGCACTGTTGAAAATTTTGTCTGCATGGGTACTTATATATATATATATATATATATATATATATATATATATGTGTTATAGTTTACAAGCAGCTCGCTTTGTAGTGGCATATCATGTTAATTGACTGCACCTAGCTAGGCTGTGAAATAACAAGGTGAGATGATTCACATCTTAGTCAACGCATCAGTGATATCACATGCGTCATATGATAACGTGATGTCCTACACCCTACGACCGGAACAGCTTACAAAGCAATCGTGATAGGTGATACTGACTTACCCACGCAGACAACTTTTTATAGAGTCATATTTACTATATATTATAGTAATTTATATTTTTGTGATGTTGCAATCATCATCATTACATAGTATAAAACAAAGTCGCTGTCGCTGTCCGTCCCTATGTATGCTTAAATCATTAAAACTACGCAACGGATTTTGAAGCGGTTTTTTTTAAATAGATTGAGTGATTCAAGAGGAAGGTTTATATGTATTATACATGTACACCCGTGCGAAGTCGGAGCGAGTAGCTAGTAAATAATAATAATGGTTTAGAGCTATATAATGAGTATGTTTGTGTGTCTGTACAGGCAAGGACTGCTCCGTGGACATCGACGAGTGCGTGTCCCGGCCGTGCGCCATGGGCGCCACGTGCGTCGACGGCGTGGCCAGCTACACGTGCCTGTGTCCCGCCGGGCTAGAGGGGCCGCGCTGCGAGCGGGACATCGACGACTGCCAGGTGAGGCGCCCCCCGACCCCCCGACCCCCCGACCCCCCGACCCCCCACACACACACTATCACTCGTCGTCGACGACGTGGCCAGCTACACGTGCCTGTGTCCCGCCGGGCTAGAGGGGCCGCGCTGCGAGCGGGACATCGACGACTGCCAGGTGAGGCGTCCCCCGACCCCCCGACCCCCCGACCCCCCGACCCTCCGACCCCCCACACACACACTATCACTCGTCGTCGACGACGTGGCCAGCTACACGTGCCTGTGTCCCGCCGGGCTAGAGGGGCCGCGCTGCGAGCGGGACATCGACGACTGCCAGGTGAGGCGCCCCCCGACCCCCCGACCCCCCGACCCTCCGACCCCCCACACACACACTATCACTCGTCGTCGACGACGTGGCCAGCTACACGTGCCTGTGTCTCGCCGGGCTAGAGGGGCCGCGCTGCGAGCGGGACATCGACGACTGCCAGGTGAGGCGCCCCCCGACCCCCCGACCCCCCGACCCTCCGACCCCCCACACACACACTATCACTCGTCGTCGACGACGTGGCCAGCTACACGTGCCTGTGTCTCGCCGGGCTAGAGGGGCCGCGCTGCGAGCGGGACATCGACAACTGCCAGGTGGCGCCCTCCGACCCCCCGACCCCCGACCCCCTGACCTCCAACCGACCCCTCGACCCCTCGACCCGACTTCTTAACCCCCAACCCCTGACCCGTCGACGGACATCCACGATTGTCAGGTGAAGCGTCCAATTTTAACGGGGATCGAAATTATGGAGGTCTGAGCCGAGGTTCGAACCCTTAGCGGTACCGTCAAAATAAAGTCATATCCCTCAGGCGGGAAGTTGGCCTTCAGCCGCTCCATAAGTTCTTTCACGGGTTTGGAGTGCCATCTGCACTAGCCCTCTATCGTAATAGAAATTGTAAATGCCGGCTACATCCAACAGTACTAGAGAAGTCCGACTAAAAGACACTCACAGCCCCACATAATCACTATTGGGAGGAATGGGGATTGTTAATAATGTCGACTGATGATCTCATTGCTAGCAATGTGCCATGTCAGGTCGAACTCTTCCCCCTGAAAACCATCGTGAAGGTAAACAGGAAGTGACGTCATCCAAGTTGCTAGTTATATGGTACATAACTTTAACATTAGTGTCGAAGTCAGTGCAAAATCAGCTTACTTACTAGGACATGGTGCGTCATGAGATCCCGCTATATCCTGACCCTTAAACCACGGGGCAACGCATGCAGCCATTAAAATTATAATTTCAATACATAACGTTAAATATCCGTTGCGCCTCGTTAACAAACCATTGGGGGAAGGTATTCTTAGTAATGTGGACTCATGACCCCATTACTATCAATGTACCATCAGGTCAGGTTAACCTCCACGTGGTTCCCCCTGGAAACCATTGTTATAAATTCCTGGTGAATTTGTCATAACGGGCTACTTGATCTGTCCTCATGCTGATCTTATCATCCTCCACTGGTGCCCCGCCAGCGTAAACCGTTAGCGCAGGCGGGTGCACCATTCCATTATCATCCATAAAAATAACATAATCACTATTACATTTGACTTAATATAGTCTACGCGATCTTAAGACAGCGAATGGCCCTTAGAGCAACAAATAGCAGGAAGGAAAGATATAAAATCTACGATAAACGGCCTCTGGGAAATGAAGTGACGACCTCGAAATTCAATGATAAATAATAATAGATTTCAAATCAACAGTTTTTAAACAATACTGAATCCGCTCTTCGTGCCCTTGGTTTCTTCTTTTTATTTCTGTGCCTGTTGGAATAAAACTAACTTTAAATTATACAATATGTATATTAGTGAAAAGTTGTCACAAATCTGTTTTAATATTAGTGCACACTTTGTTAAACCACAAGGTCCTAAGGGCACTATAAAACAAAACACTACACTGGTCTATATAAGGTTTATTGATTGGTTTCAAATACGGGTGCAGCCGGTACTGATACAAAAATCTTTTTTTTTTATTCGGACTACTCTAATGCTGTTGGCCGCAGCTGGCCTTTACAGCTTCACCGGACGATAGGGGGCGAGTGCAGATGGCTCTTCAAATCAAGGAAGGACTTATGGAGCGGCTGAAGGCCAACTCCCGACTGACTGATACGACTTTAGTCTGAGGGCACTACTAGGGGTTCGAACCTCGGCTCAGGCCGTCGTAACATCGGTCGCCGTTGAATTAGACGGGGGATAATTCTGAAGGGGCACCAAAATGTAATATTACAAATAACATATGAGAAATCTATAAACACGAAACGAAACATTAGCGCGTTTTAATTTTGTTACAGCGCCATCTATATATATATATATATATATATATATACTAGCTGTACCGCCAACGTTGTTTTGCCTTAAAATAAAAAAAAAAATTAGGGGTGTACTACCCCTAACATTTAGGGGGATGAAAAATAGATGTTGGCCGATTCTCAGACCTACTCAATACGCTCACAAAATTTCATGAGAATCGGTCAAGCCGTTTCGGAGGAGTATGGGAACGAAAACTGTGACACGAGAATTTTATATATAAGATCTACTTTAACTCTTAACACACATACAGTTGTTTTAGTTTCAGAGAAAAAACATTAAACGGTTAGAAATTTCACCATTTCAAATAAATACTCTATAGTACGTTAAGAAAAAAATAGCTTATATTGATCATTGTTTGGCTGCGCAGCATCTTTGTTTTTCCTCGAGTTGTCATTTGTGACCAATGGATTACTAAATCAAAATTGATTAGTTCCAATTTTAACGTTAACAACGTCCGGTTGTATACGATTATAACTAGATTCTAAACATAGTTGTACTGGAATGGGCACTCAGTGACGCGTTCTCATTGAACCGTAACGTAAACGTAACGTAAACGTGACGTGACGTAAGTGATGATGGTGCGAATCTCTTGCTATGTATAGAATAGACGTAGTGAGATGTAATTCAAAGTTCAAAATATATTTATTCATGTAGGCCTGTTACAGATGATATGTCAAATCTACCGTCAGTTCGGAATTATTTCGAGATGAGAACTGGCAAGAAACTCAGCTCGTATTCAAATTCAAATTCAATTCAAAATATCTTTATTCGTGTAGGTCTATTATAGACTCCTATGATATGTCAAATCTACCGTCAGTTCGGAATTATTTCGAGATGAGAACTGGCAAGAAACTCAGCTCGTATTCAAATTCAAATTCAATTCAAAATATCTTTATTCATGTAGGTCTATTACAGACTCCTATGATATGTCAAATCTACCGTCAGTTCTGAATTATTTCGAGATGAGAACTGGCAAGAAAGTCAGCTCGTATTCAAATTCAAATTCAATTCAAAATATCTTTATTCGTGTATGTCTATTACAAACTCCTATGATATGTCAAATCTACCGTCAGTTCTGAATTATTTCGAGATGAGAACTGGCAAGAAAGTCAGCTCGTATTCAAATTCAAATTCAATTCAAAATATCTTTATTCGTGTATGTCTATTACAAACTCCTATGATATGTCAAATCTACCATCAGCTCAGACTGATTCCGAGATGAGAAGAACTGACAAGAAACTTAGCTCCTATTCTTTTCAAATAAATGTTGTACATGTTTATTTTTATATTAATTCAAATTTGGGAGAATAGAAAGACCAATATTTACGATGACACTTACGTTGCGAATCATGTGATGTTTTCATAACATTAAATGCAAAAATAAAGGTTAAAACTACACTCGGGTCACAAGTCCCGGGAACCGGGAAGTCACACGATGGATCAGGCAACTGTACGGTGAATCTATGGAATGCTAAGAAGTTTGTTTCCCTCAATAATAAAAAGTCTGGACAATCTTCACAACGCCATCTAGTCCCAAGCAAAGCAGGGCTTGTGTTATGGGTACTAAACAACTGATATAAATACTTAGATACATTTTTTTGCAAATACATACATAATATGCATAGAAAGCACTCAAACCAATACAAACACTCATACTTATGAATACAAATGTTTGCACTGTAGGAGGAATCAAATCAAGTGATCATCGGAAGTAAAGCTGTGTGCTAAACCGCTAATATTACCGAGGTCTCATCTCGAAATCATTCCGAACTGACGGTAGATTTGACATATCATATGAGTCTGTAATAGACCTACATGTATAAACATATTTTGTTTTTTTTTATTGTCTATGCCTAATAAATAATACTATACTGTTTACGCTAATCTAGTTAAGAGCACAATATAATAGTTCTGAAAAGTGAACTAGATGTCGCTGTCTCATTTATTTATAATTTCTACATCGCGGTGGCAAGATATTTTTGCGTTGTCTTAAGTTATAACACGTTTTGTAATCAGTGAGCGAAAGAGAGAGCAATACATTCTTAAAACGGAATGTACACATATCTAGTACTATCCTTGAGTTTCATTTACCTATAGGGTCCAAGATCTAGACAGTTCTGGTCATAAGTACAGCAATAAATAATACGAATGTCAAAAGATGATATAATTGAAGCCTAGTTTATAACATTTCACATATTTTAATTATTACACATATTTTAATTAAAATAGTACTACTTGATGAATGTATATGTCGGAGTAGGAAAGCAGGAATACTTTTTAAAAAGCTGCAGAACCGTTGACCTATAATAGGATCATCGGTTCTTCTAGTGGTAGTAGTTTAACATTACATTAAAATAATAAAAGAACTAGCGAAATTAGATTAGTTTATTATTATAATAATAATCTCTAAATATAATAATAATCTCTAATAATCTCTAAATATGATTATAGTCTATCTTTCATTTTATTTTATAACACAATACTTTTCTAATGTGATTATAATTACAAATCGATTCTACTAAAGTAACAAGAGTTTTCAACTTACTTCCACGCCGCTCGAGCACCGAACACAGAATGAATCTTATTCACAAGACCAGCCATGTGGTCAAATCGTGTTCCCTCCAACTTGAACGCGCGCTCAAGTCGGAAGGTGTCGATCGCCACAGTG